TACAACAAGCAGTACATAGTTTTGCATCTACATCTGGGGCGGGAAACTCTGTCTTACTGAGTACAGTGGTTATTTATGTGACGCATGTGTTCGGGCAGCGCTGCAGTATAAGGGCCTTACTGGACTGCGGCTCGCAAATGAACCTCATCACCAAAGAATGCACAGAATTTTTGGGCTTGAAAAGTAAACCCATCTGAACGCACATTTCGGGAATAAGTGGATCAGCTCATTCAATCAAAGCGAAGATTTTCGCCCATACTTTGAATGAAAGAGACCTTTTCTCCCAATTTAGAATTATGTATTATTCCAAAAATAACAGATGTAATTCCTTCAACAAAACTGGATATTTCTAATCTAACGATACCGCATGACATTAAATTAGCAGACCCTAACTTCTATACATCTAGTAAAATCAATATATTGATAGGAAATGAACTATTCTTTAACATCTTGAAGGAAGGTAGAGTTCAAGCGCTGAATGGAAACATAATATTTCAAAACACAAAATTTGGTTATTTAATGACAGGGGTACTACCTACTGTAATAATCAATCCTACTGTTATTTGATAACGGAACCAAGTCTTGATAATGCAATTAAGAAGTTTTCCGATTTAGAATCCTTCCCAGGAGATGGTAAAGAAGTCGTAAAGAATGAAGAAGAAATATTTTGCAAAAAGCATTTTAATGAAACGTACTCATGTGATGAAACAGGCAGATACATAGTAAAATTACCTATGAAGAATGATGCAACTTCAATGCTGGGTTCATCTAAAGAAATTGCTATTAAGAAACTGAACACAATTTGGAAGCGTCTTGATGCTAGTAAGATTATGGCTAATTTGTATAAGGAATTTTTCAACGAATATTTAAGCTTAAATCACATGGAATCTGTTATGTCCATAGATAACTGTAAAACTTGTTACTACATTCCCCATCAGTATATCGGCTGGAGAAAACTTCAACTCGATTAACAGTTGTTTTCGATGCATCATGTAAATCATCCAGTGGCTATTCGCTAAATTCAATTCTATTGAACGGAGGCACAATTCAAGAAGATCTTTTCTCTATAGCTTCCAGGTTTAGAAAACATCGGTTTGCCTTTAGTGCCGATATTAAGCAGATATATCGACAAATACATCATCGCAAAGAAATTTACAGCAAATTGTTTGGAAGCCAAGCTGCGAGGCCCTTGTTCAAGTGTATAGGTTACGTACGGTTACATACGGCACTACTAGCGCACCATTCTTAGTCATAAGAACCTTAAAGGCATTGGCAGATGATGAACAAGGCCATTTTCCCAGGGCGGCTGCTGTCACATCTACGGATTTTTATATAGATGATGTCCTGACAGAAGGAAATACTTTAGAAGAAGCAAAAAAGCTTCAGTCTGAATTAGTACAAATGTTTCATCGTGGAGGTATGGAGCTACATAAATGGGTGTCCAATCATCTTGTGCTACTGTATGATATTTTAACAAAGGAATATTCCTTTGAGTCTCAAGATAGTGTCGTGAAGACACTAGGAATGCTTTGGAAACCGAAGGATGATCACTTGACTTTCAAAACAGCTGCGGACAATCAAGATAGTTTTACTAAACATCAGATGTTATCTGAAATAGCTAAGCTTTTTGATTCCTTGGGTCTTATTGGACCCATAGTAATGAGGGCAAAAATATTCATGCAAAGACATGCTGAAACTGGACTGGAATGAGGAATTACCTCTCAAGGAATTGTGTGAATGGAAAAAATTCCTTTCCCAGCTTTAGTTAATCGATCAACTGAATATTCGCAGACATATTTTAACTGAACATTCCGTTAGAACTGAGATTCATGGGTTCTCGGACGCTTCGTAAAAGGCTTAACGTGCGGCTATTTACATCCATTGTACTACTACTGACGGAATGAATTATTCTAATCTTCTTTGTAGCAAATCTAGAGTTTCTCCTATAAAGCCTGTTACAATTCCACGTCTTGAATTGTGTGGAGTATTACTATGCAGAGTTGTGTCAAAGGTGATAACAGTGCTGCAACTAAGTATCGATGATGTTTATTTGTGGTGTGATTCTACTATTGTGCTAGCATGGATAAACACGCCTGCGCACAAGCTCAAAAAACTTTTGTGAGCAATCGAAGTGCTGAAATTCAAATGTTGACTAAGCAATTTAAGTGGGGTCATGTTGCCTCAAAGGAAAATCCAGCGGACATAATATCTGGAGGAGCAGATACCAGTGAACTTTTGGACAATTCCTTGTGGTGGTCAGGTCCTCTTCGGATGAAGAGCATGAGAAAGAACTGAAACAATCATTCAATCCAGTTCTGACTTTGACAATGAATGAACATTTTATAGACTCTTTTCTAAAACTTTCCAATAATTTTATAAGCTAATCAGAATTCTCAGTTTTATTTTCAAGTTTATCTTAAATTGTAAATCCCAGGATAAGATGCAGGGATATTGAACTCTAGATGAGATGAAAAAGGCTGAGGAGTTTCATATACAGCATGCCCAATTAACTGCCTTTAATTCGGAAATTACAGTTCTTCCGCAAGGTAAAAGCCTATTCCTGCACAAAGTAAGTTAAAAAGGTCTTGACCCTTTTCTAGATGAGAATTCTCTTTTAAGAGTTAGACGAAGATTAAAAAACTCAAACTTATTATTTGATTGTAAACACCAGTTAATTTTGCCTCCTATTCATAGAGTTACCGTATTGATTTTTGAATATTTTCATAAGAAGTACCTACATATTGGAGCACAGGGTTTACTTCATCAGGTGCATTTGAAATATTGGCCCATTCACAGCAAGGGCTTGGCTCGTAAGATAGTTCATGCTTGTGTGATTTGTTTTAAAAACAAACTAACTACAGCAAATCAAGTCAAGAGTAATCTTCCCACTGAGCGTATAACTCTGACTTCACCCTTTCTTAATTGTGGTGTTGACTTTTGCAGACCATTTCATGTACAATTCAAGGGTCAACACAAGAGCATTTTTCCTAAAATTTAGGTTGCTTTATTTATATGTTTATCCACAAAGACAATCCATTTGGAGATAGTATCAGACTTGACATCTGAAGCCTTTATAGCAGCTCTTAAGCGATTTTGTGCTAGAGGGAAAATCTCTTCCATCATTACAGATAATGCTAAACTTTAAGGGAGCTCATACAGAGTTCAAGCATTTACAAAAATTTATTAGAAACCCAAATGAAGCAGTATCCAGCTATTTCACCTCAGAAACTATAGTTTGGAAATTAATTTCCCCTAAATCACCGAATTTTGGTTTGTGGGAAGCGGGAGTTAAATCCTTTAAGTACCTTCTTAGAAGAACTATAGGAGGTACTAAGGTTACTATGGAAGAATTTCTTACAATCATTACTCAGATTGAAGGAATTTTAATTCGCGCCCATTAACCCCTATGTCTAATGATATTAATGAATTTGAAGTTTTAACGCCAAGACATTTTTTAGTTGACCGTCCAATCATGTCTGTACCAGAACCTGAACTTACTGAAATTACTGATAATAGGTTATCAAGGTGGCAGTGCACAACAAAGTTTGTTCAAATAATATGGAAGCATTGGCAAATAGATTACCCCAATCACTTGCAACAGCGCAATAAATGGCAGTTTCAGAAATCCAATGTAGAAACAGGTGCAATGGTTTTACTTAAGGATGAGAATCTGCCTCCTTGCCATTGGGCCTTAGGTAGAATTTTAGAGACAATCCCTGGTGCAGATTGTAAGGTACGTATAGCTAAAGTTAAAACTGCTTCAGGAATCTGCACTAGATCTATATCAAAGATATGTTTATTGCCAATGTAATATTCAAGTTTCTACTGACTTTATATATATTTGTGGAATCAGTTTATACATTAAAAGAATTTAATAATGATTATATATTTAAAGGATTTGTATGGCTTATTTTGAAATGTATGCATATTGTAACACTTTTTATGTCAACTTGTATATTGTTTGCATAATTACTATTTTCAATATTTAATACTCTTAAACTCCAACCTTCAACTTTAGATCTGTAGTAATCTGACAATTAGTTTTGTGATATAAATTTTGAACTATTGTAATTTGCCACCAATTTATTAATTGAAATTTTTGTATCAAATTTCAATGCCGGGCGGAATGTTCCGTCTCGGTTAAAATATATTTCTGTCTATTTGTACTGGCTTAACGCTTGCAGCACCATGTAAGGTCAGTGGCAAGTGTCCAGTACTAATCAGTAAGCGATAGGGATGCACTCGGTCCACACCGAGTGTCCGTTCCTCTGCCCCGAACAAAGCAGCAGTCAATTGTTAATTGTTCCTTACTCACTCTTTGCCCATTTAAGTGGCATTATTGTGCTTGAAAGAAAATGAATGTTGTTAAGTTTCTCAACTTGACTTTTATAAATTAACATACAGTCCACAACTACCAATTGCTATCATCAATGTAATTACAGTGTTTAAAATTGACCATTGTTAGCAGTTAAAGATTAGAAGTGACATTGCAGATACTCAAAAAGGACACAGATAACACTGCAGTTAACTTCATATTTTCTACATGATGCAGATCAGTACAAGATAGAAATGATGCTATGAAATTAAATGCTTTCTCCTGAATTATGCATGATTCTGATAATTTCATGATTCAGTTACAAATTTCTTCAGTGAGAATATAAAGATGGAAAAGGAAACAGCAATTTTTAAATTATATTTCAGTTACTTCCCACACTATCCAAATTTGACAACTAATCTACTTTTATTCATGTCCTACTCATCATAAAGGAAAGCTTGCAAAAGAAAGACACATACTGTTCCTACTTAAAGGAAGTGAAACTAGTAGTAGAGAAGGAAAGAACTGGATGGGGGGGGAGATATAGCAACCTTACAAAGAATACAGAATGGTAAAAATGAGAAGAAACTGTAGTAGTGTGGTTTTCGGCAACTTCAAAATAAAATGATTTCATATAAAACTTTCATTTACTTGAGAGATTAAGCAAATATTAATAACTACAAACCTGCTGAAGTTTTCTACAAAGTGTTTGAGGCCATTCTCTCTCAGGAGGCCATTCTGGGATGAAAACAAAGTCAGCTTCACTTGCTAAAGCTCCAACAAGAGCTAAATAGCTAAAAGTCAAAATAGAAACATAAAATTAAAAGCCTATTTTGAACATAAATTAAAGCTTAAAGAAATAAATAATGGTGACTTACCCACAGTGACGACCCATGACTTCTAATATAAATGTTCTCTGATGACTAAGGTAAAACAGTAAAATCTTATTAAGATAAAATAGTATAACACAATAATTTAGAGACATGAAAAGAAAGACATGCAGCAGATACTCATACATATCAAATCAACATCATATCACATTGATGTTATGAATAAGATACTACTGCTGATAAACACACTAAAGGCAGTGATAGGTACACCTATTATTCTGTAATTTCATGCACACATTTCACAGAAAAGAAGATCCAGATGACATTTTCTTTAAGGGAGATGACATTTTCTTTAAGTATAAGAATAAAAAGATTATGCTATTAAAGTTAGGTTTAAAAAAGTTAAATTAGTTAATTTGCTAACATAGACCAACATACTTTTGCTTTACTTAAATTTTTGGTTTAATTGTAATTGGATAATAATCCAGTTTTAATTTTATTGTAACATTAATATGCACAATGTATTCTGTAAGAGTCATACACCAGGAAGTACATTTGAAATGATCTATTTCAGATATGACATGCTTCCTATTAAATAAATAATTAACCACACTAAATAATAGTTAAGTATATCAATGCAAATACAATCTAACTTTACATAAATCAGAAAAGGTAAGAGAACAAATTTTTAAATTTAAAATCTGGATAATGGCTTAAGCGTGCAAATAAGGACAGAATACTACAACAACATTGAATAGAAGGTTGAAATTCTTTTTAATGACAGGCAAATAGAAATAGAAATATACATTGTGTCTACAAAAGTCCTTGTTTATTTGATTGTGAACACATGCTTCCACTAATAAAAATGCTTTCCATGATAGAAATTTTGTTTTGGTATTTTTTAATTTAAAGAAATGAGTTAAGTAAAAATTATGAGATTACTTTTCATATGTTCCTCTGGTTCTAGCCCTATAAAATGAAGTTAATTGTCCTTCAACAACATGCAGTGTTTTACATTAAGAATTTCTGAAATAAATTTTCTCTTCGCAACTTCCTGATGCACTCCGATGCTTCATTTAGTACAATTTCCATTCTGTCACACAAAATGAATGTTTTAAAGGAGAAGAAACACAGATAGAAAGAAAATCTCTTCCCACTAGTACCATGTAGATTTAATTTTAATTTAACTAAGAAAACCATATTTTCCCAGTCTTCTAGATACCAATTGGCATGTTCTTTCTTTCATAATAAGCCTACTTAAATTTTTTACGTCTATCATCCCAAGCTGAAAGGTGGCACCTCTATTTCTACAGAATAGAAGCAAATTTGAATGAAAATAATGAACTGACATAGCTTTCAGCTTAACCAAAGCTCCACAATACAAACTGAAACATGCATGCTAGTTCAAGTGCTGTAATTCATTATAATCTAATCCAAAGCATAAGTGACACTGCAAACAATACAGCCTGCAACATCAGCATATTATTGATAAAACATTTTGAGATATGTACCTGGTATGGTCTTGCCGCATTCTTACACTATACCATAAGACCATTAGGGCCTGATTAATGACCTGGAGTCTACTAAGCCTTACATCAACACAGCTGCATCTTTTTCATATTACTCTGCAACATCCTCGACAGACAAGCTCTTGATAACAAAGCTGAGATGAATGAGAGACAGACTTATTTTCTTCTGCACTGGTTCACTATGGTTGGTTTCAGAAATGTATGAGGATGATTTCGAGATCTGCCACGGTACTGGCAGTAGATCGATATGGATAGTATCGAATTTTTGGAACGAGCAACTTTTGATCTTCTATAAAATAAACATTTATAGTACGAGAATTAGACAGTCAAAACTTCTACAGACAATTTTATTATAATGTGCTATTATACTCTATTTTGTTTACAATATACACTAAAAATGTTAACCAACCCTCTGGTTGCTCATTCTGCAATTTCCATGAGCAAATCAAATGTAGCAAAATTTGCTCACCCCACGATTTTCACGGGCATTTGTTTCTCTTCCTTTATTGAGGAGCATATCTCACTCCCTCACTGTTTGACCAGTGCAATAAATTATATACAGTATTAGACATTTAATTTAGGTTTTGACCAATAGATGTTAGTTGTCCACTAAATTGCAGCATTTGGGGGTACTTGGTATTTACTGCTCTAACTTCACTATGTTTGCCCCCCTTTCTCTAATCAGAAATGGCTGCTGGAAAATGTTCAGTGATTGACAAAGTATATATTCTTGATGATTTTTCAGATTCTAAAAGGGATTTTAGTTTTGATGGACTTTGGACTTTGCCTTGAACCCTGTTTCAAACTCTATCATACTAAACTATATTTCTAAAGAATGTTTCCCTCAGTGCATTATATTTTCTTACGCTTTATACATTTGACTCTTTTATATACTGTGATTAATAGAAATTAACTGTAATTCAATTTAAATTTATTAATTTTTTTGTAATAACATCTGAAATTGGTTTTTCTGACAGCTTAGTTTCTCATGATAAAAATCTACATAAAAATCCTTTCTAGTTTTCAATTCTCCAATATATATAGATTTAAAATTTTGGAAAAAAGAAAACTAAAAAATTTTGAGGAGATTTTGGTCCACAAATTGAGCAGGCAGAGGTTTAAGCATGAATAAAAGTTGGCTTCATAAATGAAAAGTATTGTAAAGAATTTCAAGAAGTTCACGAAACAATATAAACAGAACTGGCTACTCAGCTAACTTTGTGCAATTCTTTCCTTAAGAAGTAAAAAACAGCAGAACTGAACCAAGTTTTACTAAGAACAAATAGTAATGACCACACAACTGTAATGGAAAAATTTGAAAATCAAAAGGACTCAGGGCACTCACAGTTATATCGTCAGTACTTATAAAATGTGGTTCAAAGAGAAAAAAAACTAAAAACTATTAGAAAAGGTTTGTTTGGACATCGCTTATCATACACAAGTTATCTCATCTGGAATTACACAGAAACTGAATTACTGTTGCCCAACTTAGATATAATCCTGATGACAGAAGTAATATAGAATAACACACAGCAAAGAGCATAAAAAAGAAGGTTAAACTCATGCTACAACTTTTCCAAAAAGTGGTCCATGTCTTGTCGCTTCATTTATAGAAGGCACTGATTCACCTTACCATAGTATATTACATAGGTAACAATACTGGTAATATTGATTTAACATATATTTTCATTATGAATAAGACATCTAACAGAACCTGCTTCATCCCTTGATGCAACATTTGCTACAGAATTTTAAGGTGCAAGAATAAAAGCTGGGAAATAAATAATCCAAGCCTATTTAGAACTCCAGTGCTAAGCAACATTTATATAATGCCTAAACCCAATTATACTTACTGTATGCTTATAAAAAATAATAAATTGAAAATTAATATGCACAACTCTGTTATATATGTTGACTCATCAAACATAGATAAATTACTGTTTATTTATAAGATTAAATTAGATTTACTTATACATAAGATAGACAGTGATGCTACATGGTTGGCGGCAAGTGACGAGAGTGTGACGCAGCACAAATACCGTGCACTTGCCTACCTAGTCAGGTTAGAGGCACTGCCATCTATCGGCAAGCAAAGTAATTAATATCTAACATGCCTTTTTTATTTATAGAACAAGACTAGTGCATGTTACTAACTTAGTACAATAAATATTTTACATCATTACTTATTTAGCAGTTAACTTAAGAAAACAATTTGACATTAAATTATCATTTAACAGTTGACTTTAGAGAACATAGCAAAATTACTACCTGGATGACTCACTTAAATCTTTAAAATTGTGACTTACTAATTAAACTGATATTTTAGAGTTCTGAACAGTTCATTAAATTCCATAGTTAGTCTATAAATAAAGTATAATTTTTTTGGCATCAATTAAGTTCTCCCTAATTGTCTCTATATCAAAGAGGTTTTATTTTATTTCTACTTGATTGTCTTAACATTGGTTCAGTTGATACATTTAATGGAATTTGAGAATGTTTAGTAGAATCACTTTCCTGTTCCTTGGGTGGATCCTGTTATCATTATCTACAAGAACAGGTTGATCCAGTGTTGATTGATCAAGTCCAAACAAAGCTACCGTTGTTCTGTTCCACTCTGTCATTTCACACATAGACTTGTCTTTACGAATGGGATGTCGGTTTCTCCTATACACAGTTCCATGATTCGCTTTTATGACATGAGATCTTGGTTGAGGATCTGTCTTCATGATCATACCCTATTTACAAGGCTCTAATTTTCCATTTGAACCACATTTTATCATTTTCATCAAGTTTTGGAAGCTGGGTTGAGTGTTTATTGGCATATTTCTTTTGCACCATCTGCCTTTTTTTCTAAGGCTCTACTTGCACCTTTTATTTGAAATTTTGGTTGCAATGCTTTAGGATGTGATGGCAGAAAAGATTTCAGTCTTCTTCCCATTAATAATTCAGCTGGGGATGGCAAATCATTTGCAGGTTGAATTCTATAATCTAGCAAAACAATATACAAGTCCTTTTCCTTCTTCCGCAGCTTTGCTCAGAGACTTCTTGAGAGTTTGGACAGATCTTTCAATTTGCCCATTTGCTCTAGGAAAATGTGGTGATGTGATGTTATGCATAACACCCCATTCTTCAAGAAATTTCCGCAATGCTTCCAAGTTGTATAGTGGTCCACTATCAGTGATGAGCTTCTCTGGTATTCCATGTGTTGCAAAAATGGACTTCATAACTGTCATTACAGCAGTTATACTTTTAAGTGGTTTCAGCTCTACATATTTTGAAAAGTAGTCTATCATTAACAGATATTGTTGTCCTTTCAGGTAAAAGAAATCACACGCAACTTTTTGCCAGGGTCTCTCTGGTAGATCACAAGTCTAAAAGAACTTCTTTCTGATTAGCCTGTTGATATTTCTGACATATCGCACATTTAGAAACATATTCTTCCACATCTTTGTTGATGTCAGTCCAGTAAAAATATTCTCTAGATTTACTAGAAACTATACCTTTGTGAGACACATGCAGTTTTTTCATAATATCTAGTATATTTCATATATCTATATAGAGATA